AACTCTCTTGGCCTTTCACCCTTCAAGTGTCCCTTAAACACACACACTATTTCCAGGGCCCAAGCCAGGCACTGGGGCAAGAGCTGAGGATAATTCAGACAGGGCCCAGCCTCAGAGATCTCCACTAATGACAGGGGAAACTCAAGAAGGAACCACCACAGCACCCTGGGGAGCACCCAGAGAGGGCTTCTGAGCATGCAAGACAATTTCCCTCAGTAGGACGGATTTGTATTCTTGGATGTTGAAGGATGGGTCATGCCAAGGGGAAGATTAAAGGGAAAGACAGTCTAAGCATAGAGAACAGTGTAAGCAACACATCAACATGTTCCAGAGTGCTCCCCACTTGACTGAGCTTGTATTCAGAGTCCCTTTGGTCATTTAGGCCTGTCTGCTGCCTCAGATCTCTAAAGGGGTGACAGAGATCTGTCTGAGGGGAAGCCTACAGGTTTTTCAGATAACAGGTCATGTCAGGGGCCACAGGGAGTTCACTGTATCCAACAGAGAAGGTCTGGATGGGAGCCTCAAGGTCTGGGTTTTCCTCCCACTGTGTGATGTTCTGATGTGTGGCCTTCTCTGAGCCCGCCAATGCCAATTCCTGGGGCCCACTTTCTCCACATGGAAGATGCAGGCATTGGACATGGGTTCCCCTCATACTCAGGCTAGGGTATGGCAGGGGTCTGTGATGCTCTGTGACTAGGGTCTCTCTCTTGGGCTTCCATCTCTGAGCAGGAAGACAGAAGCCTGTCTTCTCACTAGACCACATGGCCCAGCTGAGGACTGGTACACTTGAACTAGTCCATGTGGCCCAGCAGATGGCTTGTACACTCGGGCCCTCCAGTCTGAGTGAGGCTGGGGCTCAGTGTGAAATCAGAAGCCTGTTCTTCAGTTAACTAGGGGTTCCCATCTGAAGGAGCCCTGGGGTACCATGGAGGACCACAGCCTCTTCCTTATCCTGCAGATGCAGCACAAAAATCTCACAACCCACTGAACTTGACCCAGTGAACTTGAATTTGGGTTTTGTTTGATAAGAGATTGGATCTCTACAGCTGGGGCTGTGCTCCCCAGGGGTCTCCACTGGGGGTTTGATAAGCTGCCTCTGAATGAATGAGGGTACTCCTTTGTGATAAGAGATTGGATCTCTACAGCTGGGGCTGTGCTCCCCAGGGGTCTCCACTGGGGATTTGATAAGCTGCCTCTGAATGAATGAGGGTACTCCTTTGTGCATTGGGGAAGTGACTCCCCGTCTTTGAGTATTGTTCTTCCCAGCTGTAAAATGAATTCCAGCATCTAGCATGTAGGATTATAAAGGCTCATCAGCCATGGCACATTGCATACTGGTATCTCAAGCTGTTTTGGTACACAGTAGGAACTCAGGAGTGCTTTTGTCTTTGGATGGAAGCTGCTGGTCAGCAATGGGTAGGGTGGAGTGGGGATGAAGCATTGGAAGCCTGGCTGGTTATTCTGGGCAGGGGACCTCTTGGAATTAGGGGCCATGGTGTGGTAGGAGGTGGCTGGCAGTGTGAGTGATGATACAGCCTGTGAAGTGTTGTCTGCAGCGGCAGGCGTCACTGCCTCCACTATGCACAGGCAGCCAACCAGCCACCCCCAAACAAAGCCTGGCCCAGGGGAGCAGAGCAGCCGACGACAGATGCATAGGGGCTGGTGCACACAGGGCTGGGAGGGGGTGGGGAGGCCTGGGGAGGCCTAGCTCCATGGAGGCATCCTTATGGAAGACCAAGGCCCTGCGGAGTCCACATCTGAGTGGCCAGTATCTCCATTCTGCCTCACACCAGACACCACATGCATCTTCATTGCTGCATGGGAACTTGAGGCTCAGAGATTTGACAAACTTGCCTGGGGCTCACATAAGCTCAGTTATAGTAGTCTGGTGGGGAGAGAAAGGCTCATTCCAGTGTGTGTGTGTGTTGTCTGTCTGTCTGTGTCTGTGTCTGTGCATATGAATGCAGGTGTCTGAAGAGGTCAGAAGAAGGCATGGGATCCCTTTGAGCTGCAGTTATAGACAGTTGTGAGCTGCCCTATGTGGGTGCTGGAGCCAAACTTGGGTCCTCTGCTCTTGACACAAACTGGATTCACCTGGGAAAAGGAAACGTCACTGAGGAATTTCCTCCATCAGACTGGCCTATGGGCATGTCTATGGAACACTTTCTTGATTGTTCATTGATGTGGGAGGGCTCAGGCCACGGTGGATGGTACCATCCATAGGCAGGTGGACCTGGCCTATATAAGTAAAGTAGCTGAGGGGCTGGTGAGATGGCTCACAGGTTAAGAGCATTGACTGCTCTTACAGAGGACCTGGGTTCAATTCCCAGCACCCACATGGCAACTAACAACCGTCAGAAACTCCAGTTCCAGGGGATCCAGTGCCCTCTTCTGACCTCTGCAGGCACTGCATGACATAGGTGCACTTACATACATGCAGGCAATACACTCATACATAAAATAAAATAAAAATAATTTTAAAAAAGAAAAGTACCTGAGTAAGCCAGTGGAAGCAAGCCAGTGAGCAGCCTTCCCCCGTGGCCTATTTCAGCTGCTGCCTCCAGGTTCCTGATCTTAGTTTCTGCCCTGACTTATCTTAGTATTGGACTGATTTCTCTTCCTGAACACCTCTCAATGCCATCTCTTCTTTCTCTGGTAGACTCTGCTGCAGGGGAGCCCATGGCAGCTCCCCTCCCACTTATTATGACAACCACATCACTGGAGTCTCAGCCTTAAACATCAGGACCCTTCAAATCCATCTCCCTACAGAACCCAGTCTGATGATCCTAAGACAGAAATATAGCAGGGCCTCCTGTGTAACAGCTTTCCATGGCTCCCCACCACCTCCAGAGCAAAGTCCAAGTGTCCTGGCATAGCGTTCAAAGGCTTCCAGAAAGCATCCCTGCTGGCTGTCTGATCACATGGCTTAATGCCCCACCCCACCTTGAAGAAACATGGGCTTCTCTAACAGGGTAGTTCATGTGGCCAGAACTTTCCTTATCTTTTTCTTCTTCTAGTAAAGCTCCTTTTCCCTTTTATGGTCCACTGGTCACTTGGCCTTGGAAACCCAACTCAGGGTGGTACATTATGGAGACTTCTCAAACACTGGCCCTTGATCTCTAGCATCCAGGATTCAGTGTTCTCTCTGTGTCCCTGTGTCTGTTTCCTCATCTAAGGAGTTATGATATGGATGAAATACCTAACTATGAGTAAAGAATGCAAAGCAGAGAATGAAAAGCAAGAGGCACAGTACCACCACCCTAACTCCCAGCATGACTTTCTGTACCACACTGATGCTGTTCTATTCAGTCTTCTAAGCACTGAGTCCTGGCCCCGCTGTTATTTTCCTCATACTGAAGTTCCCGAGCTCTGGCTTAGTCCCTGCCACATAGCATGTATCGCCTATTCATCTGTTTGGTCATAGATGACATGACAGAGACTGACAGCTGTCCCTCAGTATCTACAGTTCACTTTGTTTTTTACAAGACAATATAATTTTTTAGTTGACAACATTAGTCAGTTGGGCTTCCCATAACAAAATAGTAAAGATTGTGTGGCTTAAACAACAGCAACTTGTCCCACAGTTCTGGATGCTGGGAGTCCAAGGTGTTGTTGGCAGGGTGATTTCTCCTCAGGCTGCTTTCTTGGCTTGCAGACAGCTGCCTTCCTTGTGTCCCCACATGGCCTTGCCTCTCTGTATGCAAAGCCCCTTCAGCTCTCTCCTTATTAGGACACTGGTCATACTGGATTAGGCTCCCACTTTTATGACCCCATTTAACCTCAGTGTCTTGGTCTCCAAATACAGTCACATTGAAGGTGTGTGCGTGTGTGTGTGTGTGTGTGTGTGTGTGTGTGTGTGTGTGTTGGGGTGAGGGTGTTATAGGATTCATTCTGTAGCATATGACCATTACTTTTTCCAGATTCCCTTGCAGCTAGCTATGGTCATATGATTAAATTGCAGCTAGTAGAGTACAAATGGAAGCAATTTGTGTGTAGCTTCTCGGTCATGATTTTAAGAGACAGGAGTCATTCTTTCTCCCTTCCCATTGATTGGCGTATGGGTGACTGACAGGAGTTGGAGTAGCTCCCTGTGAAAGACAGAATAGTGGCTCTTCCCTAAAATGATCATGTCCTTAGAACCCGTGAGTAGGTTATCTTATATGGCAAAAGGGACTTTGAAGATGTAATTAAAATGAGATGGAGAGATTAACTTCCATCTCATCTTAATTACATCTTCAACTCAAGGGTGTCGTTATAAAGACAGATGGAGGGAGGACCATTAGTCAGAGAGGAAAACGTGGCTGCAGAAACAGATGTTGGAATGATGTGGCTATAAACCAAGTAGTGTGGTTGGTTCTAACAGCTGGAGAAGGCAAAGGACAAGTTCTCTGTGGAGTCTTTACAAGGGCTGCTGATCTACCAGCACTTTAATCTTGGCCCCACAAGACCGACTTCAGGGATGGAGCTCAGTTGGTAGAGTCCTTTCCTGGTGTATATGAAGCCCTCGGTCTGATCTGCATATTTGCATCACATGTAGCCAGCACAGTGGCATATGCCTATAATTCTAACATGTGAGAGGCAGCAGTGGGAGGATTATGAGTTTAAGGCCATCCTTGACTACACAGTAAGTTCATTGCCAGCCTGGGCTACATGAGACTCTGTCTCAAAAAGATTTTAAAGACACATTTCAGACTTTTGATCTCCAAAGTTATAAGATTATAAATTTATGTTATTCTAAGCCACTGAGTATATGACGATTTCTCTCACCAGCAGTAGGAAGCTAACATCCCACCTTAGGCCACATCCTGGAAGCACTCACTGTCTTTATCTGCAGAACAGTAAGGAAGAGGATTTGGTCTCCAGCATTGTGAGGCTGCCACAAAAGGCCTAGACCTGCAATTTTCTGTAAGAAAAGAAGAGAATTTTGTTTTAGCTATCTTTATTACTACTACAGCAAGGTAAGCTGTATCTTCATTCACATACGCACCTACCACGTGTTTGGCCACGATGCAGGCACTGGAGAATTAGTATCAAAGCATGCGTCAAGTGTGATGCTTGAGATGTGCCCAGGAAATTACACGAACATGCAAAACAGGAAGCAGCAAATATCTGTTGACCACTGCTGGGTAAATAGATTGTTCTTCCTGTGCCAATGACAAGGCCAGGGGTCTGGGTGGCTCTCTCCAAGACAAACATGGTGATAACCCTTGGGGAAGGTGAGAAGGAAAAGCAACTTGAACGAGAACATTGTCAGTGATGTGGTTAAGCCTGGTGGCTCTTGGATCACACTGCTTAGGGTGTGCTCAGGGCTCTCCATTTCCACATCTGAAAAGTGGAGTCATCAGTTTCCATTTTTCAAAGTGTTCTTGTGGATTTGAAGTAAGAGAATGCATGAAAGTGTGATGAAAGTGCCAAGCCCAGGACATAGCAAGTTCTAGCCGACTGCAGCTCTTTCTGAGGTCTGATCTGTCCATCCTAAACTCACTAGTCAGACACACCTATGGGATGCTGGTGGGTACCCTTCATTCTGCAGATCCCCAGTATTTAAGTCTTGGTCTCATGCACAGAGTCTTTAGAATAGTTACAGCTGTCACCTAATATCCCTGCCCAAGTGAAAGAGGAAGGGGTAAAAAGGTTGGCTGTGCTTGGCCACCCTTTCCCCCAGCCTTCTGTCTCCCTCCTTTTTAACCTAAATGAAGATAGAGACTGAACTTGGCCTCAGAGCAACTGCTAGCAAACATAGACTCCAGGGAGGCTGCCATTAAGAATGTTTCCCACCAGCCTGTCTCTGGTCACTTCACTTCCAATGGCTCTCAGGAGGGAGCATAATGAAACCAGGCTTGTCATTTGTTGCAGAAGATCCCATTTGCTAAGCTTGCTCATTTATTTTCTAAGGAAACCACACTCAAATGGAGTAAGTTTTAGTCTTTTCCTTCATGCCTCTCATAAAGATGAGGAGGAGCTTGGAAAGGGGAAACACTTCCTATCCCCAAAAGACAGAATGAAATAAGTACTTACCAGAACGAGTGAGGACCATCTTCGAAGTCAACGGCCACCCTACAATGTCTTGAAGAGGGAGGTGTCTCCAACAGTCCCTCTAAATCTGCTCATTGGTACGAGAGCTCTTTTTCCTGATCCTGTATGAAAGTGTAGGCAGTCTTATGACATCTCTGGTTTCTTTAAGGCAATGCAAAATCTTACTGTGATTTTAGGTTGTAATAATCTAGAGGAATCTACAATATATCCAAGATTCTCTTCTTAGGCCATCCCACCACCTACACTTCCTTAGCAACCCCAGGACTGTAGATCTGATGATTTTACACACCTGTAAAAGTTGTGTTGCATGACACAATTGACCTTAAGATGGAGGATTATTGACTGGTCCTGACCTAGTCACATGAACCCTTGAAAATCAGAGTTGCGAAAGAGAAGTCAAGGACCACTGAACAATTGTGGCTTGAATGTGAAGGTGATCACACAGAAAAGACCTGAGGCTGGATTTGTAGTGCCATGGGAAAGGGCTTGCCTGGTACCCTGAAAAAGGGAGGGGAGGAAGGGGACGGGGAGGAGGAGGGAAGGAAGAACCTGAGAGAGACCTTTATCTACTGAACATGAAGAAGGG